CACGACAAAATAGTTCCTGACATGTTAGGTAAGAATTTTGTCACAGAATTCTTAGAAAACACTTTGCTAGTATCTAGCAATTCAGTAGTACAGTTTATTAATGATAACCTAATAGAAGCTTTCATCCAACAATAAACAGCATTAATAACTAAAGTGGCTACAGATAAAAGCACTGAGGAGTGAAAATGTAGCAGAGTACTTGAACTACTCGCTCTGCTTTCACATTAAGTTATTACCCTCATATTTTGTCAGGCCTTGAACCTGTGATCTTACTGCCTTATACTCCTGATATACTTTTTAAAATGGCTTCACAGGAACTGAAAATTAAAAGAGTAACATCAAATACCTGAAGTTTGAGAAACAAAATTTTTTCATGCTCTTCCTTTAACTGTTCCCTTTCCTGCTCCATCTTCTCCACCAACTGTCTCACGTGCTCCTGGTAGCTCTTCTCTTGCTGTTCCAGCAGCAGCTCATGCTTCTTTTGCATTTCTTCCAATTCTCTGGCCGTGGCTTCTGCAGCTTCAGCCTTTATCTGTTCCACTGAGGACAAAAAGCATGAACACAACATTAAATTCTCTGAGGTACTTTTGCCTTTAAAAAAATATATTTAGGCAGGGTCTCCCTGTGGCCCCAGCAGAACTGGAACTCACTGTGTAGACCAGGCTGGCCCTCATCTCACAGAGATCTGCCTGCCTCTGTCACCTCAGTGCAGGGTCTAACAGTGTGTGCTACCACACCTGGTTTGTTGTGGTTATTTAATACTGAATAATCTACTTACAAGGTGGTAGATGCTTATAAATAGCAGTTAAGGAAAAACTACCATCAAGTTAGGAATGATACTTGGGGTTCTTTCTCTCTTTATTGACCAACATTGCTTAACATTATGCCAAGAACTTTCCAACATCTGGAGAGCTCGTCACTGTTCTTACTTTCAATCTGCTTTTCCTTTTCTGTCAGTGATTGATCGGTCTTTAGAAGTGTATCAGCCACAACCTCCTTGGACTCAAAGTACTTTTTCAATATCTCTTCTGCCTGGTTGGACAAAGGGAGTTAGAATGAGAAAAAAAGAGATCGTAAGTTGAAGGAAAACCATGAGATATATGTATGAATGCAAACTGTTACCCTCCTTGTATTCCAATAGCACTTCAAGTTTAATGGTTCCTACACTGACCTGGGGATCCCCCTTAAACCTGATCCTTTGCACCCACCATAACTTTACCAATTTGTAACTCCTTTGAACTAGCTGTACTCTAATTTAACCAGAGCCTATTATTTGTCATCTGTCCACTCTAAATTTTCCAGCCCAAGACATCAGGTCCTGCCTGAACCACCGCTACAGAGCATTCTTTTCAGAGCATCCAGAACGCCTGTATTTTTTTCTATAAAATCATAGAACTCATGTACTCAAAGCCGTCTACTGACCTTCTAACCAAATAAATTCCAAGCTTTATTTAGCATCATTTAAGACACTCTCTGGCCTCTGGTCTGACATTGTCTCCTGGCCACGTTTTTCTCCTACCTCCTTTCAAGAGCATCAGGTTTCTTGCTATGCCTGAAACATCCATCCATTTAATCTGACGAACTATTTCTGATATTGATATTTTCATCCCCTACTAGCTGTCTATTTGTCTAACTTCATTGAAGAATCTGCCAAACTTCCATGTCATTTGATATAATCTGATATAATCAGTGGATATAATCAGTGAAAAATAGTGTTTTGTATACATTGTCCTTTGTAAAGCTGGGACATTCCTGGGATTAAATTCTTTCAAAACTGTGTTGTTGTTGAGCATGTACTGTACTTTGGTAGCCACAACAGTAGTTGTGCCACTTTTTTCTAGGTTCTGTTTCAAATAGAGTTGACATCTAATCCATACATAATAGTACTGCTGTGATTTTTAGTCATTTCATATTTAAGGATCAAGAAACATATTATGTTCACAATATAACACTTGATGAATATTAATCAGTTTTGATTTATATTCCTGTGAAAGCATGCCATTCTGGTCACTCATACTGATCTACATCACTAAAATTTACTAAAGATAGCAATTCACAGTCTGACCACTGGACAGAAGTTGTACTTGACTCATAAAGCAAACGATCGCCAGTTCTAGAAACCTGCAACTCAAGTTCTCAACTTTTAAAACCAAACAAACACATTCTTATGTAGTCATTGTAGCTGGGGTTGACCTTTCTGTGTGTGGTCACACTTGAGTATGAAAACCAGACACACAGTGAATTAAGTTACCTCCTATATCAAAGATAAAATGTAGAAAGATAAAAGATCTGTTACAGTCCTAATAACAGACTTGGAAACCTCTTCATTTGGACCTCGCGTCCATATATTTCTGAGAGGTCTTTGACATACTTATGGTTTGAGGCAGTAATCAATATTAGTATGTGATTAACTAAGAGTGCATTCACTACCACGAACTTGGGTCCTGTGTCACAGGGCAGATAATCAGAAATGTATGGTGTGTCTGAGAAACCCTACAGCAAGTTGATGTGCAAATTTTTGGCACATCTTTTCTCCTACCTCCTCTGTTTCTTAAAGAACAAAATTGAAATAAAGCCTGAATCTCTGGCAGCTGTCTTAGAAATGAATTCAGGCCAGGGTAGGAGACCATTACTATGATGTTAAGGTAGAACAAAGGGAGGAGCTTTGGATGCAAATTATGATGATGCCCTTATGATGCCGGTGGGTTTTGTTCCTCACTTCTTGTGCACAAAATGGAAGAAACATTTGGCCACTTTGAAGACACTGTTGCTGGAATATAATATGTGATCAAATCTACCCTCGACTGAGTAGTAGAGTAGTACCTGAGTAGGGCATTCTGGAACTGCTAAAGGCGGAAACTGCTACCTGGAGTACTCATTACCTGTTTCATAATGAGGGAACACTCGCTCTCTCTGCCTCAATTTCCTTTTCTCTTTATGGAGATATCAGTAATGCATACTTTATAGGGATGTGAGAATTAAGTGATTTAACTTCTTGAACATCATGAAGGCAATCTAAGCGTTAACTGCTCCTACCACCATACTTATTTGCCTGCAAGGTAAAATTACTTAGTGGTTTGCTTGCTGGTGAGTTGGATTTTTTGTGTGTATGTGTATGAATTGCTTTGTCCCCAACAATTTGAGAATTTTTGACACATGGAAACACATGATACATTGTTGGATGACTAGATCAATAAATGAGTGACTGAGTTTCATAGTCCACTTATGAGTTTCATGGTCACCTTGTGCCTCCAACGACGAGGCTGCTGTCTATCTGATCTTTGGAAGATGCTATCTATCTCTTTACCTGGATGAAGGACAGAGAATGGCATTGCCCACCAACCCCAAAGCCATCACCCTAGTTTGCGGTGGTGTTTTGAAAGACACTCCAAAGCAAGTCACTAGAAAGAGTACTAATTACACAGTTTACCTGTACACCCTTTCCAGGAACCTGCCTGTACTGTTTCTCCAGTTCCTGCTTCTTCTGAAGAAAGAGATGGTAACCCCCTGATTTAGAAAATGCCCCCTGCTTCACTTCTTCTTCCAGAGGAGCGAAAATATCCCGCAGCAAGGCTGAGCAGCGATCCAACGACATGTCCATGTTCTTCCTGATAAGCTCATCTCGCTTTGCTTCCAACTGGGCCTGTACAAGGACAAGGCAGCACAGAGGGTTAGGAGGAGCAGGAGAACCACACAGACTACTGGGAAATGCCTAGGTGGGTCACACTGTTCGCCTCACTGTGAGATCATGGTGTCCCTGCAGAAACGGATCCTTTAGACTGTCATTTCTTAAAGGCCTTTCCCCTTATCATTGCTGTCCTGCTTCAGAGAGTGATTTTCAAACAGAGACACTGTTTCATAGGAAGCCTTTGTCTTTGTAAATATTTATTTTCTGGGATAGTTTGGATTACACAGTTAGAGCTAGGGCCATCTCTGTGTACTTCTTGAACTCACCACTCTGTAGTTTTGAGGCTTTGACATTTGTGGGCTGAGGATTCCCTGTTGGTAAGGCCAGGTAGCAACACCAATCTCAATGGATTTTTATCAGATCATGTGAAGGGATCCAGAGAACTGAGCCCAGAGATATTACTAGAAATACTCAAAAAAGGGACCATGATTAATCAGTGGTCCTTAGTATGGGAATATGATTGTGTCTTTTCCTCCCTGTGGAACCATAAAAGTACTGAAAGGGACAGGATTGGCATTTTAATATTTATAATTTTAAAAATGTAATGGAATAATATATTATGTCATATAACTTAGCTATGGATTAATATGCTTATGTGCTGCTGACTTTGACTACCTTGTTTCCTAAGATCCTCTGAATTCAACAATGCATAATTTGAAAATCATGTCTTCTTAATCAGGGAAGAATTGTTTTACCATTGATCAAGTGGCCATGCTATCTTATAATGGGGTTGACTTTAAAAAACAACTTCAAATATGAGACCTTAGCAGATAGTCTGAGAGTGCTTGATCTGGCCTCCGGCTGCGGTAGGGCCCGAGACCTCAGCAGACCTCCTCAGAGCACCTGGACCCAGCCTCCATGTGATGGTGGTCTTCCGCAAATCACAGGGTACCCAATCCCCTAACTGGGATTACATGAGGCCCCTCCCACAGCCCCAGGGCCAGACCTCTGACACTACAGCAGGGTAAGGCTGAGACATTAGCAGACAGCCTGAGAGTTCCTGATCCGACCTCTGGCTGGGGTAGGGGCTGAGAACTCAGCAGACTGCCAGAGAGCAACAGAATCAGGCCTCTCCTTAGAGAACTTCCCAAATTGTCTTCTGAGTACTAGTAGTAGGGGTGCAAATGTTAGAAGGAAGTCCGAGTCTCCCTGACTGGAGCCTGACTTGAGCCTCTGTGGGATCTCCTGAGTAGCTGATATGAAGTCATCAGTACCCTTCAAATTAAATCTGGAGAACCTAAAACCTAGACCAACCAGCTCTACATATCCAATAAATAAACAACCAAGGCACACTAATAATAAAAACAGAAGCAAACTTCAACTCAACAAAGGAAGGCTTGATTTTCATACCAGACTCACAAACAACAAAAGAAATCCACATGCCAAAATCACAAGGAAAAAAACAATAAAATGGAAAATCAAAACAGTATGCTCCCACCAAACTCCACTAGAACTGTAGAAGAGTTCTACAAGGAGAGCCCCCTGGAGATAATCCAGAACACTGAATTTAAAAGAACAATCATAAACATGATCAAGGAATTCAATGGATTTAAAGGAAACATGAACAGACAAATCAAAGAACTAAAAGAAAATAAGGATAAACTTCTGAACGAATTCACAAAAGAGAAATGTTGAAGAAAACTCAGGCTGAAATGAAGAAGGAAGTGATAAACTCAATAAGCTAACCTAAAACCAGAGGAGAAAGCCTCACCACTAACTAGAATAAATGAAGTGGAAAACAGAATATCAACACTGGAGGATAAAGTTAAAGAACTGGACCACTCAAGCAAATATTATGAAAAATTTTAAAAAACACAGGAATGGAATATGCAAGAGATGTGGGACACCATGAAAAGACCAAGTCTACATATTGTAGGTATAGAGGAAGGAGAAGAATTTCAGGGTAATGGTATTGACCAAATCTTAAACAGGATTGTAGAAGAAAATTCCCCCCAAATAAGGAAAGACAACACCATACAAACGCAAGAAGCACATAGAATACCAAATGACAGGACCAGAAAAGAAACTCCCCATGGCATAGCATAGTAAAAACACTAAATGTACAGAACAAATAGAGAATACTGAAAGCAGCAAAAGAAAAACAACAAGTCACATACAAAGGAAAGCCCATCAGAATTACAATTACATCTGACTTATCAATGCAAACTATGAAAGCTAGAAGAGCCTGGACCAAGTTATTTCCAGTTCTACATGACAATAGATGCCAGCCCAGAATACTTTACCCAGCAAAAATGTCTATTATAGTTGAAGGGGAAAAGAAAACTCTTCCATGCCATGAATAGCCTGAAAGAATACATGTCCACAAAACCAGCCCTTCAAAGAATACTTGAAGCAATACAAAGAACAGAAGAAGAAACAAGTATACCCCATAGGCAACAGAAAGAAGCTAAATTAAGGCATATTTGTAGAAACACAAAATTAGACAAAGAATGCAAACAGCAATCAAAATGATGGCAACCAATATGCATCTTTATAATAACTTTAACTATCAATGGACTGAACTGCCCAGTCAAAAACACAGGCTAGTTGAATGGATTAAGAAACAAAATCCATCTTTTTGCTGTCTTCAAGAAACCCATCTCACCTTCAAGGATGGACACTTAAGGTGAAAGGATGGAAAAGAATATTTCAAGCAAATGACACTAAGAAACAAGCAGGGGTTGCAATTTGGATATCTGACAAAATAGACTTCAAACTAAAACTAGTCAGAAGAGACAAAGAGGGCCACTTCATTCTGATCAAAGGAACTATTAACGAAGAAAATATTACGATCCTGAATATATATGTACCAAACTCTGCTGCACACAAACTCATAAAAACAATACTACAGAACTTTAAGACACAGATTAACCCCAACTCAGTAATAGTAGAGGACTTCAGTATCCCACTGTCTCCATTAGACAGGTCAACTGGACAAAGAATGAACAGAGAGATGTCTGAATTAAATAATACCATAGATCAAATGGACCTAACAGACATCTTTTGAATATTCCACCCAAGCACCAAAG